TACAACTTTTGTAAGAATTTATTGACTCTACCAGATGTGCTACATTGATGGAGCAGAGAATGTATTTTCATATGAACAAGGAATTAACACAGCCAACTGTGGTCTCTTACCATTTTTATGCATTTCACAGCCTGTGTTCTAATTTTAAATTAGGGTTCTGATGTGTGTATTTATACATAGCCATTCTTGAATCAACCTGTAACTATAAGCCTTTGGGGAGTGATTGTGTTTGAACATCTGGACTCACCACATGTTTTCACTTGGAACTGAACCATCATTTAGAAGACCTGGATTTTTAAAAGGAAAGATATGGTGATGATATTCTATAGGTGTTCTAGATGATAAGAAATGTATTCTCAACATATGATTTGGGATTTATTGTAGCAATAGGGGTGTAAAAATCATATTTTAAACCGAAGTTGTTTTGCAAAAAGTCTTGTCATATGTCTTTCCCCTATTTCACACAATTAAATGTTCTGATTACTGCTTGAAAAAAAGTACCAAATTGCATTATATGACAATCTAGTTTTTAAAATATTTTCTGTGAAAAGTCAATGATCATTTATATTTAAGAATCTTTGAGTTAATGTCAATTTTCAAGCACCCCAAGTGATACTTTGTGTTTATTAAACACATAATAAATATTACATACTCTCTTTTGAGTTGTTAATATAATCTTTAATCACAACTAGAAATTTGCCTTCATTATATAATTGCCTAATGTTTAGTATGTTTTCTTATGATACTTAAAAGAGAATATTGATCCAAGTTTTCTCTTGTAGGAACTGAATTAACTTCTTTATTGGAACCCTATGGTTTGTATTTACAATGTATGTATCTGTCAGCAGAAACTAATTAATTGGAATCTGTTACCTTCTAAGAAGAACCTTAAAGCATGTAATATTTGCCTGTGCAGATTAAAGAAAAACACTGGGAGCTAATTTGAACAGAACTTTTTTGAAATGTCAGAAACCCTTTAATCTAATAAGGTTGACACAAGAAAGACTCTTTAATCTCTGGGTTTTATACACTACAAAACTAACAATTTAACCTTTCTCCATATGTGCATGTTCATTTATCATGTTACGTGTGCTACTATTATAATACATAGTTTTAAGAAAGTAAATGAATGGCACTTTGTTTTAAAATTAGGACTGCTTCCATTTGTGAGTTCACACATATATTCATGTAATTGTGGTTTCAAATGTACATCACTTTGCCTAGTGGTAAGGTTTCTGAAAGGGTTGTGAATAAAACACATTTTAAAGGATAAATTGATGGTCTTTTATGTACTTAAATAAAGTTTTAAAATTTTCAATAAAGTTTTTAAAAACCATTTTGACTACCTTTTTGCAAAAAACACTTTTAAAGCTAATAATAAACTTTGAAATTTAGCATTTTATTGAATAAACAGGTTTTCCTGTACTAGTCCCTGAAACAGGGTGCACCTGTTACCATATTTTTAAAAAATGGTTTTGTAATATGTGCATAGAAATATAATTAATTATTTCACAAAAAAGAATGTAGAGATGAAATATTTTTGCCATTGGAAGCTTATGGCTATTTCAGTCTTCTGCAATGTGATCTTTAAAATGTAGACAGCAAATGACTTCAAAATGGCCAATAAGCATTTTATAATAATGATAATTCTAAACTTTATTTGGATAGGCTATTGTGTTTTATTTTTAGATAACTTAAAATACAACAATGACTTCAGTCCAAAAAATTCTTCCTAAGGGTCAATATTGAGTGGTGCCTGGGAGAAAGATGAGGAATCTGCTCCTTGGCAGTTCTATGACACTGAAATCAGCAAAGAGCTTTGATTTCCAGGATCCACATCACAGTCTAAGAATATTTTTTAAGCAAAGTAACTGAAGCAGAAAACTAGCTGGAGGTCCCTCATTACTTATTCTTGCTTGTTATTTCAGAATTTTTCAGTTGTAGCTATTCCTACTCATGCTTCAATATTAATGTCATCATGAAAAGAGCTTGGGATTACAGCCTTTTATATATATATATATATATATATATATATATATTATATATATATATAATTTCAAAGAAACCGTCCATGATTCTAATGAAAGACTCATATGATCCCCTAGAAATATCAAAATAAAATTCCTGTAGAAAATCAAGAAGGAACGTTTCAGTAGGCCAATGCTACATCAATGAAAACAAAATCTAGTTATAAAGTTATAAATAATTGATGCAGTATACATGCAGAGGACAGAGTTTAAATCCCTCTGATATAACAAGGAAATGAAATGTTTAGTTTTTATCTATTGTTACAGCAGCCAAAGCCTCAAAACTAACTTAACCAAATTCCATCTTAGTTAATATGCTTTGTGGCACATGAAAACTCAGCAATGTCAAAAATAGTGTACTGATGACTGTGTTAATAATCTGGCATTATTAAAAATTCAGATAAATTTATAATTTGTAACTTAGCTCAACATAAAAACATTGAAAGGAAACTTTTTCAAACTTTCTCCAGTAGAAAAGTTGAAACTCTAAAGAAACTCTAAAGAAATTGAGAGCAGGGACATATTCCTGCCTATATCCATTGGCAACTTTGGGATAATTACTTACCAGTATTATTAATATGATTAATATTACCTATAATTAAATAAAATTTCTGTCTGAAATAGTTTAAAACTAGAAGGCTCTAGAAATCATATTAATTATGAATTACTCTTATCAGACATTTTAAAGTTGTTGCATAATTGGAAAATCCAGAGAGTTTGGAGAAATGATAAAGTGAGCACAATACTGAATGTTTGTAAATCAAGAAATTAAGCATATTGCTTTGATATGTATAAATACAAAGTTGGTTCCTTGGCGGTATATCAATTAAGAAAATCTAGCTCATGCCTTTTTTTGGAGGTAAAGAGATGGATGAACTGAACAATTTTTGGTAAATAATTTTAAAACCAAAGTTGAAAAGTTTCAAAACAAAAAACACATATTCCATTTTATTGAGCACATGCATTCCTTAGAAAGAAAGGAAAAGTCATATAAGTCATGTGAATCAAAAAATATAAATATTAATATATTTTTTAAAATCTAAGTAGTTTGTAAGTAACTTTTCTAACTTTATAACTCCAAGAAATCTTTCATTCAAGATATTATTTGGGTAATTGCATGTTCAAATTTGGTAATGAAATAAAAAAAAACACATTTATTTTCCCCCTTGATATTTGGCCATTAAGATTTCATTCATGTCTGAGAAATACTATTCTCCAGACCTTGCTTTCCTGGCAGTCATAAATGAAAGAATATAGAGTTTACTCTGTGTTTACTGAAAATATTCTGCCTTTTGTAGACTCCTCTCTGCTCTCTCATCATTCTCTTTCATCTTTTGAATAATTTCACATATTGGCATATATTTCCCATCAACATATTCTTGATTTTTTAGTGTACCCTAAGAGAGATTCTAAAATGAATTCTTTACATTCATGCCAGTAACCAACTTCCCAAAAGTCCTAAAAAAAAGTCACCATAGTAATAATTCTTTCCTTCTTTAATTTTCATATCCTCAGTCAATTGAATATTTTACATACATTCCCTATGGACTTAAACCTTTTGTAAGTGAAATTGGAAAATGAAATAAGTCATGCACAGGAACAAGAATCACAGGTCTTGCAATGAATTATGTATTTTTGCATGCAAAAGCTTCTATTCTCACAATACTTTACTGTTAAACGTGTGCTTTTCTAGGATCTGCTTCAATCTTATGTTACATGTTTCATTGTAGGTCAGAGTTAAAGCCATTAACTACTAAGTGTCACTCTAATGATTCCAGACTAACAGCATTTAAATACTTTGTGTAGGGGGAATTTGATTAAGAGCAACTCTTAGTAAAATATGCTTAATAGAAAAAACATTTCAGACACACAAGGATAGAAATATATATATATATATATATATATTAATTTGGGTTAATTTAAGTCAAAGTGTCAAGTAAAAAATGGCTTTGTTATTAAATCTGTCTAGTACCTTTAGCTTTGATCCTGTACAGCAATGTTATTTTACTTCCAACTTATTGGGACCCTGAGTGGGACAGCAGAATGCAATCCAAGTTTCAACTGACTAACACTACAAGATGCTCTTGTCAAAACCAAGGAAAGTAAACATTTTCAAACCTGTTGATAATATTCCTCCTCTATTCTCTATAGACTCAACATATTTTTAATATGTTTCTGTGATTACAGTTTCCCCAGCAATATCAGCAACATTGAGTAACCTCATTTAAAAGCTAATCTTATATTTCAAAAAATAATGACAGGTAAATATGGAGACAAGTTATAAAAACAAAAGTAATTTTTTATTAAAAAAAAACCCTTGAGACTCAAGGATATCATACAGTATATAAATCATCAACATCCTTGCATTTCCTCTTAATCTCACAAACATTTCTCATGTTTGTACTATCTGTTAATTATACATCTGTGTGTGTGTGTGCACGATAACACCTTCTTAGTAAGGACTATCACAGCGCATCTTTGGAATGAATAAATTACCCCACACTGCAATGATTTGATCAAACTCTACAAGTTATGTGCCTCATCATTGGGTCCCCCAAACTAGAAAAGTTGGGGAAAAAAAAAACTACTAAGCATGCAATCAGCATAACACAGTAACCAGGGAAGGATTATGGCTTATACAAATAATAGTGAATAATTCAGTACATTTAGAAACAATATATATTATAAATTGCATCGCAGATCACAGTTTGAGTTCAGTTCCCAGCTGTGAACTCAGAGCTCATGGAAATGCAAACAACCATGAAGATTCCTCTTAGGAAAGATTTAGTAGTTGTTCCTTCAGTTAATGGCAGTTTTTTGATGAAATTATTTACTTGAAGGAAGACTAATATGAAGTAAAAAAAAAAACCAAAGCAGTTCAACATAAACCAGGCATATTAAGAAGTACTCATGGTTTAAAGTGTGTTAAAGTGTAATGATGTCACAAACAGATAAATCTTAACTGCGTCTTACCTGTAGTAGCAGAGTGTCTTGATAGAGTTGAGTGTCGAAAAGATGCAAGTCTCTAAATTAGAAAACAAGGGGGTGTTTGCGCTCCCAGTTTTAGCAGAGCTGGAGTGTTCTATGCATAAGTAATAAATTGCCTCCGCAAAGTCGTCCCGGCCACAGTGTTCACAGGCAATAGTTAGAATCACTGCCCGAAAGCTTGCTGCTGCTGCAGCCTTCTGCCTTTGCACGGAGACCTAATATATGAGTGTGCCGGAGAGCATCCTTTTTCCCCCTCTGCCTCCCCCTCCTTTTTGCGTGATCTTTCTTCCTCTGTATTTCACTCTCTCTCTCTCTTTCTCTCTCTCTCCTCTCTCACTAATAGAGAGTTATCATTTGGCTTATTCGGCAGACAGTCAAAGAGGACGGGCTGGCAGGCAACTGTGCAGTTCTCTCATGCTGAGGCACATGAATGTGTTGTGAATAAAGACAAAGCCCCCGAACCATGCAGCACGTTACTCCCCTGAACAAGCACTGCAATGATACTCCGCACTGCAACTCCGCAGGCAGGCAGGCGGCAGGCAAGCTGACAGGCAGGAAGGTGGACTGCATTTCCCTTGCTCGCCCTGCTAGGAACGTGCATCACAAAGTTTGGCTCAGGACTTTGCCTGTCCTCTAAGGGACAATGTTTTCTGTGGGTAGAAGTTCTTTTATGAACTGTCTGGACACCCCGAGCAAAAGTATTTTGGATAGTTTTCTATTATATTAAACTTGGAGAACCTAGCTAAACCCCCAGAGTTGTTGCCAAAGTAACTGGATTTTTCTAACTTTAGAAGATAAAGATCAGCTATGTTAGGCCCCAAATGAATGTTTTCATGGTAGTGGAAGATGGATCTCTAGTCTTGAGTATTCTTGAGGGACTGAGTGGGAAGGGATGGGGAGGGGTGAGCAGGCGGAAAAACAAAAAGAAACATCAGTATCTCACAGGTGTCAAAAATAGAAACTGAGATAAACTAAAGTGAAATGGATGAACTAGTCTGAAAGAAGATAAGTGCAAAGGAATGAACAGAGCAAATAAATGGAGCTCACTGATTTCTTATAGTTATCATTCAGATTTGATAACAGAAAATCATCCAATTTGTATAGTGCATGTTTGGTTGCAAGTATTAATATATAAACAAACATAGGCTAACATATATCATGTGCTTAGGAAAGATTTAGTAGATAATACCTTGCAGGTATTTCCTAAGGAAAGTTAGAAATTTTTTCATCTTAGGGAAGCTACAGGAAGTTACCGAACTGTGGATATAGAGCTTTGCATACCCCCAAATGTTCATCCCAATCAATTTATACTATTAGGAAGAGACTTTTTAAAGTACAATAAAATAATCTAGGCATTAGTTTTTAGAAAACTAAGTATAAGTTAGGATTAGACTTGTCTATGAATGACAAAACACCTGAAATGAATAGTACCAGGAATAAAATATAAATTTATTTATATCCTTCATGAAAATGAGGTTAGGAGCTCAGTAATTCAGGGCTAGATGAGAGCTCCATGATCATCTGGGACCTAGATTCCTTGTTGTTCTGCCATCCTCAACACAGTCCAAGACAGTTACTCATGCTGTAGCCATCAAATTGCTATCCAAACTCCAGGAGGAGAGAGGAATGAGGAGAACATGCTCTCTATTTAAGAACATTCCCTGAAGTTGAACATGACGTTTCTTTGACTAGAAATTAACCATATGGCCAGAGCTTGCTTCAAATTAGATTGGGAAATAGAGCATGTATGTGAAATGGCCATGTACATGACTAAAAATATGAGGATTCTCTTACTAAAAGAGAAGAAAACAAGAGACTATGGTGGATATAATAGTGTCTGCCATAGTAAGGGCAATGGATATTATAAGTGATATCACATCTATCTCATCATTTGTCCATTGTATAACTGAAATGTATTTTAGGGAATTAATTCCATCTTCATCAGGGGACTCTGCTTAGTCTAAGCCAATAATGGGAATACCATCATACTTGCAAGTAATTGGTTAATAACTCTGGCCTGAGCCAATCAGGGCATGGTGTTTACATAGTGACAGTTAACCAGCTCAAGAATGGCATGTTTTCTAACACCGAAGCGAGGGAGAGAATTGTTCATTGTGGAAGAAAAGAGTTAGGAACCAGTTTTAAGGTTAATATAACAATTTGGAAAATAATAAAGATATTAGATACTTGAAGAAATCAAGGACCTTTTAGATTAACCAGCTCTGGAGCCAACAGTAACTCTGAACTTCTAGTTATGTGCACCAACATGTTGCACCACTTCTTAAGCCACTTTGATATGCTTTTCTGTGAGTAACCAAAACATTCTTAACTCTACACGAATAAAGTACTGTTCTTAAGCATTTAATATATAATTCCTATTCCCCCCCTTAATATCTTTTACAATTTTGTGATTCAGTGATATATATTTTTTAAATTAAGAATCAAAAATATAAAAGGTATAATAAATTTATACTTATTCCAAACTTTCACACTTTCCATTTATTTATTTGAAATGCTTTAACAATTTAATATTCATTGACATTCCATTGGTATTATTAGAAAGCCAATTTGCTGATGAGCTGGGGACATGTCACAAGCTCAACAGATTTAAATAGCTGCTTGTTTTTTCTTGTAATTATTACTTCTCAGGATTTAACTAGAATAATAAACTAGCCTGTGTGATTTTTCTCTCACTACAGTCTATAATAACAATTATTGTATTTTAATAGCTAACATTTGCCCATGGGTGTGTTTACTTTGTGCTGATCCTGCTTTAAGTTTTTATAATGTATAAGCTCATGCAATGTTCACAACAGTTTATTATTATATTTCTAAATTATGAATTGAGAAATGGAGTCACACATTGTTTTAGTCTGTCTTGTGTTGCTATAAAAGAACACTGAGACTGGGTGATTTATAAAGGAAAGAGGTTTATTTAGCTCACAGTTCTGCAGGCTTAAACATTCAATGGTGTGGATAGACCTCACTTCTGATGAGAGCTTTTGTGCCGTGTCACAACATGGCAGAAAAGTCAAAGGGGAAGAGGGGAGCACCTGAGAGGTATCTTGGCTTTATAACAACCCAATCTCATAGGAATTAATCCATTCCCTGGAGAACGAATCCAGTCTTGAGAGAGTGAGAACTCACTACCACGAGAAAAGCAGTAGGTCATTCATGAGGGATCCATTGCCATAACCCAAACTCCTCCCACCTTCCAACACCACCACACTGAGAATCAAATTTCAGCATGAGTTTTGGTGGGGACAAACAAACCATATCCAAACCATAGCACACACATAACCAAAACTGGCATCAGAAAAAATAGAAAATCTAAATAGTCAAATGTCCATTCAGGAAATTGATATTACAATCAAAAACCTACCCACAAACACAACAAACCACTCCAGGCCCAGATGACCATACCTGTAAATTCAATATTTAAGGATGAAACAACACCTATTAACACCAAAATATCACAAGTCCTTTCAGCAAATAGAGTAAGAGGAAACACTACCTAATTTCATAAAACCAAAATTACCTTGATACCAAAACCAGAAAAAGACATTACAAAAAAGAAAAGGTTAAACAAATATCTCTCAGGAACTAAAACACAAAAATCCTTAACAGAATATTGAAAAAAAAATCAACATATGAAAAGGATAATATATTATGGCCAATATAAAAGAGTGCTTTATTCTAGGAATTCAAGTTTGGATTAATATGAAATAAACCAAACATTATAATTTACTGTGTTAACAAATTAAAAACAAAAGTTATATTATCATCTTAATGAATATAGAAAAATATTTGAAAAGTTCAACATCCCTTTGTAATAATAAACATGGACAGCTTTTACCCCTTTTATTCAACTTTGTATTAGATGACCAGCAACTGCAATAAGATAAGGAAAAGAAATAAAAGACAGCCAGATCAGAAAGAAAACAGTAAAGCTATTTTTATTATCAATCTGGTTATATATAGAATATACTAAGGAATTTAAAAAATAAAAGGTATTAGAATTAATAAGTAAATTTAGTAATATCAAAAAATACAAGTAAATATTCCAAAGGCAATTGTACTTCTAAATACTACCAGTGAACAATTGTAAAACAAAAGAAGATATACATATACATATGTATATGTATACACAATTTACTCTAAAATAGCACCAAAATCTTGAAATACATAGAATAAATTTAACAAAATATGGGCAATATCTATACACTGAAAATTGAAAAAAGCATTGCTGAAAAAAATCAAAGAAGACTAAATCCACGTTCATTGCTCAGAAGGATCAATATTGTGAAGATGCCAATTCTCCCCAAATTGGCCTACAAAGTAAACTCAGTCCCTATTATAATTGCAGCCGTTTTCCTGAGAAATGCACAAATTTATTGAAAAATGCATATGGAAAAACAAAGGACCTATAATAACCAAAATATCTTGCAAAGAAAAAAACAGGGTCAAAAGACGTATACTACCTACTTTGTAGACATAATAAAGCTACGCTAATTAATAGTGTAAGGTATTGATGTAAGTATAGATACAAAGATTAATGGAAATGAATTGATATTTGAAAAATAGTTTGTGTTGTGGTGATTACAATGGGTATACAGAGTTCTCCAAACTCATCTAACTGTACACTTAAAACAGGTGTATTTTATTTTGTGTAAATTATAGCTCAGTAAAGTTGACTTAAAAAGAAATAACAGAAACTGATCCACTGACCATTAAGTAACTTGCTTGAGATCACACAGTTAGTGAATAATAGAACTGCAATTTAAATCCTAACTTTTTTTTCTTAACCACTTTTTTTGCTGACTTGGTAAGTTGAGAAATATTTTTGAGTTGCAGGAATGAAAAATTCAAGTTAAATAATAAGATAACAAATAGGGAAAGGAGAAAATGGTAGACATCACCTGAACTAGAACTGGGATGTCACTCAAATTTGAGATAATTCCAGCAATGAGCTTCCCAATCTATCTTTCTCCATGATACCTTTCTGACTTTTTTGATTCTCACTATAGATGATTGATTCTTACCCTTTTATCTATAAACTTATTTCATGTCGCACCTTCTGAGTTTATGCTGATTTGTCTTAGTCATCCTTTCTCTTTGTAATAACTTCATTCTGCCATAATCCCTCATGAAGCTCCCTTTAAAGTACTCTTGCTGCTTACTGTTTTCCATTTCTCTAATTCAAATTCCCAAAGAGGAAATTTGATTAATCTAATAAATGTGGGCTAATTTGCCACAGCTTTTTCATAGGTCACAAGCAAGCTATAGATTGGTTTTTCTTGGGTGTGGTGTCCAACCTTAGATCTGTTAGATGTGGCACACGAGATGGGGTTTACGTGTAATGACATAGATGGTTGGATGGGACATTGGCATATCTAGTATGGTATATTCATTTCAGTTTCTTCTGAAATCATTGTCAATATTTTTAAAGATCTATATTAATATATTTATATATTTATGTACATAAAAATATA